CAAAACCCAAAAAGGCAGCTCTGGAGAAGAGTTATCAAAACACATTGCTATGTTTTTGTTATTTCCAAACACTGAGTAATATTTACATTACGAGCAAGGAAGCCAAAACAGGCAACTGAGCAGAAAGGAGACTTGGAATCAGCAAATACACAGAAAGTTCAGAAATGCAGAAGTTTATCCTAACGTTTACCCATATTCTAATGCTTCAAGAAGACCGAACACCTTGATACAAGTTAACAGCCTTTGCCATCCAGACAGTTTGATGTTGTGTTGGCTCTGTGACAAAGCCAGGCTGTACAGGAACGTTGGCATTGTTTTCTGATCAAAGCAAGCCCTAATGGCATTAAACCTGAGTTGCGGTCTGACATGTTTTCTTCCCTCACCCGTCACTTCTCTACATTGCCACCAGCTTTTTCTTGAGCCGTCACAGTATGAAATTCTGCTAGTTTAAAGCATGGTCAGACTTTTATTTCAGATTATAAGAACTGATTTTCATATATATTCTGCTAAGCATGGTAAGGAGACAGGAGGTTGTGAGTATATTATGACAGTGCAGAAAAGATTGCTTTCAGGGAATGGTGATTTTCAGTTTCTGGTGGCTCCAATGATATTGCGAGAGAAAGAGGAAGCAGGAGAGCTTTAGCAATTTTTGCATTAAGCTCTTGTGCAGCTTAATCATTAAATGTATCTTTAAAACTAAGCATATGCTTATGTTCATTTTTTAAAGTACAGACATGGAGCAACTGTGGCTATAGCAGGATACAAGTGGGTTACCCCAGTAACCCATACTGGCATCGTGCACAGGATGAAATGCTGCACATTTTTGTAGTTCTGTCCACTACCATTTGGTTTTGCTTTCACAGATATAAAGGGTATAGTACAGTTTCAAATAAAACTAAAACTGATTAGATACTATGAAATCAAACATCAGATGCTCACAAAATATAACTCCATTGATGGCAACTGAAGCACCACAGTTAAGTAACTTTGTAACTGGAGTCTCAACTTTCTAGTGCTAGCTTCTCTGCTCAGATGTGACATAACCCATCACAGAGTACTTTACAGTGCACTTACAGAAAGAGTTAAGGGTTTATTCACTGCTACGTTGCTTCGCAAGCCCATATTGTCTACTGCAATCATTGCTGCTGCTGGAATTCAAATTTCTCTTCTGTTGACTTTGATTGCACTTATATATGATGCCAGCCAGAGTGTACAGGAGAAAATGCAGCAGTCAATGATACTAAAGGCTGGATACTAGCTCCTGCAGTCACATCTACCACCTGTCTTTAAATCATTTAGTGTGGTTTAGCCCTTACTGTCTCCCTGGAAGCAAGGAAGCCAAGCAGACTCTTCTTACAGTTTTCAAGTAGCTGTCATCAGTTTAAAATGACTTAGCCTTAGTAGATATTCTATCTTCACTTTATAGCACAATGGACCTGACTTAAATCAGTGAAGACAGATTCCTGTCAAAGCAGTAGTAGACTTCAGGGATGGATGAGACAACTTAGAAGAAAACAGCTATTTTAGGTCTTTGTACAGCACAACTCAAACTGAATTTATTATAAAGTTCTGAAGTGACCAAACACATTTTACTGCCTTCTGGTTTCCAGATGGGTCTGCGTCCAGAACACCAAAATACCACAAAAATGCTGCTTTTTTTCCTGCTGCAATCAGAAGCAGCTGCAACAGAAGGCTATAGAAAAGTCTGATTCTTAGAAAATGCTTGTCCTTCTTTTTCAAAATAAAAGAAGTTTAGATAATTCGAGTAAACTTTGCAGGGGCATCCAAACATTTTGAATTGCATTAGGACATACATTTCAAACCCTTGGAAGCATAGCATTCACTAGCTGTTTGCTCCTAATGAGGGAATTGGAGTACTCCAGTGGGTAAAATTCAGGAGACAGGATTCTGGTGTAGCTCAGCTCTAATTTAATCAGTGGCTTTGACAGTATCACTCACTGCTGCTCAGTTTCCCCACTGACCTCGGGAATCATGCTTCTAAAGCACTTTGCTGGAGTTTCAATTTTGCACCTTTAATATTATTACCTTATTCACTTTAAACATGTACAGTGGTGAATTTAACATTTTTGGAGACAAACCATTATTCAGCGTCCCATCAAATTCTATTCAAAATCCAGTAAGAGACCAGCATTTGAGGTTTAATCAGCAAGGTGTCAAGAGCCCCTAGGACTAACTGACTTCTCTGAAAGTTGAAGGTATACAATAATTTCAGAAACTGCACAGCATCTTGCAAGATTAAGCCCATAAGTAATTTTTACTATTTATACTTCCATTGTTAAGCTATTGTCTACCTTTCCAATTTGGCTTTGCAGTCCTCGTATTCAGCAGGTTTACACGGCTACATGCACACACTCCATTCAAAACACTTGCCCAGGTCCAGCATAACATATGGAAATATGCTCGTGCATGCTCATGCATAAACCACATGGTGAGGTGCAGGAAAACGAAGGTGCTTTTAAAGTTTTGGGTTTTTTTTTTTCTGATTTATGGAAAATTAAAAAACAAGACAAGATTATAGCTTAACCAAGAATACTTTCATTGATATTAGTTCCCAGTACCTAGTAAGAAGGGATAATATCTTAAAGAATAAATATAAATAAGTGAAGAAGGTGAATATACAAGCTCTTGGGCTCACATGAAAGTTGACTGATACTTGCAGCAACCCTGACTCATAATAAAAATGATTTATTTAAAGATTTATTATGAACATTGCAGGAAAGGAGATAACAGACATGCACCACTGTTTACAGTAAAATTTCCTGTAAATTAAAAAGAGTTCTCATTCTCTGTTTGGTTTTGTTTTGGTACTGTACCAAGTATCTGTTTATAAAAGGAAATATGATGGTACAAAGTGTACAAAGTGAATTGCAAAATAGATTAACAGTCAAGGTGAATTTGCTTTAAATTAAGTCCTAGCAACACAGACACTGTAGATCCCATTAAGGTAAGGGAAGTCGGTCTAAAGCAGATCTTTCCTGCACTGTTACTGAGAGCTGAACTGCCTGGAATTCAGACCAGAAAGCTACTCTCCAAACTGGGACTGGTGTTAGGCCCACAGCAAACTCATGGGTCACTCTCAGTGTCAAAAGAATATAACCTTAGCCGTATGTCATGCTTGAGCCTCCCTAATGCGTGTGCTGTGCTACAATGATCTCAACCCCAACAGCAGGGCTCTCTAAATGCTTCTTTCTGCTCTTTCTGAGGAACTTCAGCTTCTGGTGATGTTAATCAGAAGTGGAGACCCTCAGCACAGTGCAGTAAGTGGAGATCCTAATAAAGCTAAGATGGTTTTGTTTTACTGAGGTGCCAGTGCATACAGTAAGGACCTAAGAGACACATCAGTGAGAAAAAGCCTGAACGGCTTTTAAAAAAAGGTTCAGGTGATGAAGAGATAAGGCAGGAAAAAAATGCTGCAGAGCACTATATGAAAGAAAAGTTTTATATAAAGTAGTTTTATAAGTATATAAAAAGTGTTTCAAATGGATTATGTCCTGAGGACTTTTTCTTGCAATCCATTTTTGCTGAGCTTTTTCACTTATAGTAGTCCCTAAAGAGCTGATTAAAGAGTCTTTCTGAACTCACGTTTATGTGACAAAGTATGGTGCAACCTCAAATTGTCCCATCCCACAGAAAATCTTCTGGGAGGAGTCTTGGATGAAGATAATGTATTCACAGTTGAAAGGGAATAATGAAAATAGACATCACAAGTTTCATCACAAAACTAGAAAACAACCTGTCTTGCAGAAGCAATTAACTTTGTTGAATTAGCCCTGGAGCCACCCTGGTATCTCTAGAGATCAGAAAACGAAGACTAGGACTTCATGGATCTCCAAAGTATCCACCCAGGGAAAGAAAAGGTTTGTGGATGGAAGTGCTGAATCAGGATCATATTCTCCATGTACCGACAACAAAAGATTTACATGGAGGATAAAATCCTGAAATTACTGACATTATCTAGAGGCCAAGAATTACACGCATTCATGGGGTTTATTCCAAACTGTTCTAAGATCCATGATTTGATATGTAGTGCTATGAAATTAATGCTGGATTTTTAAAACCATGTAGTTAATAAAACCAATTTGCAGACAATCCTGTAGATACAAGTTCAATGGTTTAGAAGGTATGTTGGCACTTACCTGGGGGCACATGTTCGTTCATGATGACGAGCGATGCTGGTGTAGGCCTTCTTTTCCTGATCTGTAACATGCATAAACCAAGGAGAGTCATTAGGGTCCACCAACTGCCCTGTACCCAAAGCAAAGCAAAATATCCGTCTGGTGCACTCCCGAGTATAGACCAGGCAAAGTTAAAAAAGAAAATATTTAAAGAACAGCAGCTCGTCACTGTCTTACTGACTGCTCGTCTGGTCTGACAGTGATCAGGGTCATGCTGCTGCTTGTACATGGAAAGCAAAGGTACAGGGGAGAGCTTTCCAAATACCTTTAGGCTTTGCAATCATCTTAAATAAGTTTTTGGACATGTATTGCTGGCATGTATCAGTCATATCTTAAAATATTGACATTTAGCTTTGCTTCAGGAAAATTATTGCAGCAGTTTGTGAGCTTATGTGTGCAAATACCTAGTACTGTCATAGCTCTCACAAGTAATTGTTAATATTTTCTAAGTGCACTTGAGAGTTGATATTGCGTGTATGCCTTCCAATGAACTTACGATATTTCTAAACTGTGGCCAGAACTGTTACTACTGTTCTTTAACTAAAGAAAAACAATACTTAAGACTTTCAAAAGAATATTTTCAAAGAGCACTATGCAACAGATCTTTACATATCAATATATAATCCTGAATTGTATGCAATTCTTCTTATTCAATTTATTTGCTTAAGTACATTTGTACTATTAACATTGGTTGAACTACATGATATTAGACTACCCTCCTATAATGCACACATTTGCATTGAAAGCTTTGTATTGCTTCACTAAAGCCTCCAGGCTATTGATATTCTATTGAATTTAAGAGAGGGACCAAGAGTATTTAAGCTAGAAACCATTCTGACGCAAAACCTCAATGTCAGTGCATTTGTTCTTTTTTAGTTGCTGAGCCAACATCTGTATTTAGCTGGGTTCAAATTTTGCTTTCAGAGGTGTAAATGGAAAATTACATCATCAGGGTTAATGGGTTTATTCCAGATTAGCGTAACTGTAGCTAACAGTAGAATTTACTGCTTTAATTTCATCACACACCCACAATGAAATTGTATAGCACTTGGAATTAAACTCACAACATAAAAAAAGGACTGCCCATAAATACTGGGCAGAATTTGGGCCACAGCATTTCAAAAGCCATGGGAATTCTGGGAAATCCTAATCCTATGGCTCTCACCAATTTCAGAAAAATATCAGAACACACCCTGCTTGAATTCATTGCAGGACTGTTCTCTAAGGTATGGACATCTCGCAGCTCAGAAGTACCTATGGACAAAATGAAGACCCACAGCAATTCTCGCCTGCACCCTTCTAGTATTTCTACTTTCAGTGGTAACTCACAACTCATCATTTTCTGGCAAAGGTGGCTGCCTTTTAGGAGACACAACATCAGAATATTCAAGAAACCAGATACCTGTCCTAAAGGTGCAAATAATTTCATAGCTAATGGCACGGAACTGTCAAGGTTATGATATTCCCCTGCTACCATCTAAAACTAGACTTACCAAAATAGAAGCAAATGTCGAGAAGGACTTGCACTGAGAGAAATGTACTGGGTCACCTAATTATGATTTATCCAGCTTTTCTCATAAGATTCCCTGTGTCCTTCTTCATGCGTATCTACGCATATCTGTACACAATAATAGATATCTTTTTCTCCTTTGACATCTGTATTGCTATATATATATTAAATGTATGTGTATGTTTTGGGAGTGAGTCAAAACCTGAAATAGCACACACGTAATTCCAATGCCGACATGTCAGGCACATTTCTACACGTATATATTTTTCAAATATGTAAAACACTGTAGCAATGACAAAGAATGTATAAAAATCATGAGAAATACAGGAGGTAACTGAAGTGATAACTATTGTGCAAAACATAACTCATATTTTCTCATGTTAAAATGAATGGTAAATAAGCTGTCTTCTGTGCAATATTTCCATTAGGTACTTATTATCAGCTTCGATGTTTTACTTTATGTACAAACAATATACTTTAGTTGATTTGTTGAGGATGTGTATTCATGTGAAGTATATGTATTAGGGCACAAGTCCAGTTACAGAAAAGGCACAACAAATATATACTGAATAAACCTACCCAAGGTAAAGGAGCCTTATTCTGGCTAGAGGACATACCCTCCTCCCTCTTTGGGTGTATCCAGACATCGCTATAACCTCCAGAGCATTTAATCTATAGTTACACTAATATAAGTTAGAAAAGCATTTAGGCCACACGTATTACCTGTTCTCACCCCACATCTTGCCCCCATTCCTACCCCATTCTCTCAAAACACCAAAAGAAACTCAACTTCCTTACCTGCTCAGCTGCCTCAGGATCTATTTGACTCTGAAACAGTGGCACAGCAAACTGTATTTTTTTAGGGCTGTTGGGCTCCATCGTGATGCTGAGGTGAGTCAGACAAGAGAAGAGCCTGGAGCTTGATACTTGGTCTGCACCTCTCCCCCAGTGCCCTCCCCACAGCCAGGCTGAGTGCTCCTCAGTAACAGCTGTAACTCCCGACTTAGCACGGGAATCTGCGCGAGCCGAGCAACTCCCTTATTCCACATCCACAGAGATGCCACTGGCTTGGCTATTTTCTTTTTTTTCTCCGCTCCCCTCTCTTCTGCAGTCCTTCAGATCCTCTCAGCACAAAGCTGAAAGGAACAATAAGCTAATTGTGTACCAGTTCACTTCTACATATGCCAAGCATTCACTCAGAAGCTAATTGAAAATGCAATACTAGCATTGCATGGCCTGGAGCCCTGGGATTTGAAAAAGAGGATCTCTCCACCGTACATTACTAACTGGCTGCTCAGAAGTGCAATGCAAGCTCCCTCTGAGTATTGCTGATGGGCTCTTAATTATTGATGAACACAAATCAGGAAGTTTTCAGATTTTGGGGGTGGAGGTAGCAGGAGGGGTGGATGCAATAATTCCATCTCTGTTACAGTGTGCCAGAACAGCTCTCCTCACGTATCAATTGCCTTCGCTCTTTCAAATCCTTTTCTAAACCTCTTCCAGGAAGATTTGTGATGATAATGCTACACTTTCATGAAGTTTATCTGGTGTGCTAACTGGGTTTGCACCTTAGGCTGGGTTTGTGGATTTAGACTGCAATCTGTTCTGGTGGGCTCCATCTCACATGATTTCAGATGCTGAGAACATCCACATTTAAGCCAGCTACCTGCGCTCCCTCATGCTAGACACATTAAAGGGCATTTCACCCTGTCCTAGTTAAGTGGAATATAGTGTTTACTGGAGATGACATTTTCTTGCCACTAACTCTAGAAAAAGTAAAGATGACTCAAACTAGTTACCTCACTTTTAGATGGCTAAAATTCAGAGGGCCAAATCCTACTTCACGGTACAAAACCTGTGCCTTCTTCCAAGACCAGGAAAAGAATTTGGTCAATCATACCAATAGTACCCTTTGGTGAATATAATTGATTTTCACTTTTCATTTCACTTTAATTCCAAAGAAGTGTATGAAACAATACACAGTGACCACTGACTTAACCTACCTCTTTGCTTAGAGCACCTGACCACTGCCAAGCAGCACAGCAGAGCTCCTGCAACAAAGGTGTGCTTGATGCCAGAATTGGATCCCTGGACAGAAAATGCCCTACAGCCAGTTCAAAGGGCTGTGCTGACAGCTTAGCTCTAAGCCGAAGAGCATTGGGCCAATCTCCTGTTACACACTACCGACAGTTGGGAAGAAAGAGAAAATGAGGTACAGCAGGAAAACCCAGACTGGCCCAGCCCATCACAGAATCAGCTTTACCTGGGATGAGGCTACCTGCAGAGAGAAAGTGCATTTTGGTCAGGTTTTTGAAGGGCCTGTGAACTTTCTCAACGGGGAAGGGAAACACAACCAGCCAGAACTAAAAGCAAACAAGCAAAATTCACGGAGAGGAGTAACAACTTGAGTCTGCCTCTGGCAGACTGCAGTAAGGAAAGAGAGAAGCAGTTGAACTCAGAGCTGAGGCTGGACATCACCAAAATTCAGAGGAATTTGAAAATGCATTTCTTATTCAGGCCACTGAAAGCACTAAGGATTTTCACAGTTCATCACAGGTTTATTCACAGTCACTGAGTATTTTCCCAACTGTGCCAGTGGAGGAGGCAGGGAAGGAGGGGGGATCACAGTTAAGAGCAATGCACAGACCATACACAGCAGAATAAATCAGCAAGTCGGGGATGGAATATCTGCTTGGCTTTGATTTATGCAAATGAAAACTGTTAACACATTATCAGAATACCAGGGTATTTCTGAACAGAGGCAAGCACATTAGCTAAATGGTTCATGAAGAACCTGGTAAAGCTCTGGAGGTGAGGATACACTAAAAGTTAAAGACTCAGTTGACTCAATAATCAAAAATAACTCTCAGCAAGGGCTGAAATTTCCCTCCTCATCCAAATCAAAACTACTGTGTACCATAGTGGTTTCCAGCTGATGGCTAGTAGCTGGCAATTTTCCTGTTAGATTTATAGTGACAATTTAGGTGGCATTAACTTAGAATTGTAGAATCACAGAAGAGTCCCGCTTGGAGGGGACTTCTGGAGGTACCTGGTCCCACCTGCTGCTCAAAGCAGGGCCGAAGATCAGGTTACCCTGGGCCCTCTCAGGCTGAGTCCTGAATATTTTCAGTGCTAAGGTGAAAAGCTCAGTTTCATTTACCACAACAAATGAAAGAGATGCACAGAGTAGTGATGTTCAGTGTCTCATACGATCATTTTTAAGCCTTCACTATTCCCACAAAGTCGGATCATAATTTGCTTTGTAGAGTTCCACAGACAATTAGAGCCAAAGCGCAACTGCAGCAGTTCTGCTGGTACAACTAAAAGTCTAAGACACTAAAGTAAGAGAAGCACACACTGCTTTCACTAAGGACAATTAGAGAATTGTTTTCAGGACAGTCTAATTATCCAATTTCACAAGTCCTTCATGAACAGACATGCCAGTAACTTCAATGACAGCTTCAGGCATAGAGGATATACACAGGGATACACCCTGGGGGAGAACATACACAGGGATCTGAAGCTGTGGCTTTTCTCTGATAAATTTTTATACTGGAAAGAAAATAATTTTTGTTTTCTCAGTCCCAGATAATGTGAGAAAAATGTTTTCCAGCTGCTTTGCTATTATATATATTAATAAATAGTTTATTTTAAATATCAGGTTTCTCTATGAAAAAACTGTTTGCCATAGAATATCTATTATAGCTGTCTATGAAACTTCATGTATTAAATTATGCTACAATTACAGTGTATGTTACTGTATTACAGGAGCTATAATTCTCATTACAAAGGCTTAAAATTTCTTATGTTAATGATAAAGTCAGTTGAAAAAACACATTCAGATAGTGAAAAATATTAAAACATTAAATGCTCAAAGGATTATAGAGGTGTGTTTCAACTCTAGATTGCTGGACATTGCTGTCTAAAGGAATCACGTCTCAAAGTTGCTGCTAGTAATAGTATCTGAGGAAAAAAGCTCAACAGTCATATGAAGAAACAAACCAACAAAAGCACTTCTTGGCAGGTTCAGAAGGTAGCTAGACAACAGGGGCAGGACAAGACACAAGGACAGATCCTTAATGGGGCTGCTACACCTCGGAGAGACCCACCGACGATGCAATGTGGAGATATTTGCCTCTGCAGCTCTCCTCTCTGTGCTTATTTGGAGCTGGTGCCCAGCAATCTTCACATGCACTATAACAATAGAAGTATTTTTAAAATAATATAAGAGGCATATTTCAGAGAGCATTCGGATATAGCATTTCAGGATTACTACATCAGCTCACTCTTACACCTAATTTGCAGCACTAGATGTCTCCGGGCAAAGTGTGCTTGCATTTTCTATAGACTGCATCATAGTCTGGGGAAGAGCTGAAATGCATTTAAGTACTGCCAAATCCTTTTAGCTCATCTTCTGTTTTTAGTGCACTCCCCACACTGTTTCAAATTCCTTCATGATTCAGCTAAAACTATCATGGAAGAAAAAACAACAGTAACTGTCTAAGATCTTTCCTTCCTATGTCATTCACTAGGTTCTGGTATGAAGCGCTGCCTTTTAATGTACCCTACTATAGTGATGAACTATCAAAGTACGCATGGCACAGTTCCTGCTTGGGATATTTTTCCTGTTGTGCTAGGGGAGTTTTTTTTTTTTTTTTTCCCCAGCTGAAGACAGAGGCTGCTGGGAAGGGAATTCAAGGGTCTCTGTCTTGCACTCTCCTTACACAATCCCTGTTATGGCTGTGATCTGCCTCAGCTTCTCTGCTGTGGTGAGGGACTACTGCAGCATCAGCCTGGCTAGGAGAAGACAGAGAGCTGGAGCTGTTTGTGAAGCCAACTTACTTAAGGCTTTGGCTCCTAATTTCACCAGTACAGATGCAGGGAAGCATTCAGTTGCAGTTCTCTGATCCACCAGGCTGTCTTCACAGAGCAAAGACTCGGCTTGGAAGTGTCAATCCTTCCAGCGTGTTTCTTAGGACATAACTTTAATCCCCATTGTAGCCACTGATATGTAAGAACCTTTGCAAAGATGTGTTGATCCATGCTTGGGCTCTCCGGCTGAGACCTCTCCTCACGCCAACATCTCCTCAGCACACTGCTGGGCAGCCCCAGGATCATCGGGGGAAGAAACGCTGCAGAGCACATTGCTTCCCCGCTGCTGCTCACCGGCTTTCTGCTAGAGCCAAGGGGAACTTCAGCATGCCCCTTCCTTCTGCCCTTTTCTAACGAACTGACAAACAGTTTTTTCACTGCCTTTGTCCATATAGAGGCATCAGTTTCACAGCTCTTGGTGTTGGTCATGGCGGAAGGGAGGCAGAAAGCATGAATGCTGGACACGGTCTTTGCTGTGCGTACCATACCTGTACATGGGCAGGTTTTCCTCTTGGGGCTCTACACCGAGCATTGCTCATAAGTGTTAAAATGACATGCAAGCCTTCCAAGAATAAAAGTTTCCTTTCAAAAGAGCTAAATACAGGTGTTGCAATCAGGGCGCCTCCCACTCAACCGCTGGAAATGCACTTTGCTATTTATGTGCAGAAAATGCGAAGGATTTAAAACCTGCAAGGGTGGGAGAATGCAGAGCAGATCACACCTGCCTCGTGAGCAGTAAGTGCTGCCGTGGGCAGGTCAAGAAGAACAGAAAGTCTTACTGAGCAGCAACAGAGTTGGTGGGACATTCAGCAAGTGCTGTTGGCCTAGTAACAGCCTAACCCAAACTTCCATCACCAGCACTTGTCCATCGGACGGCAGGCTTGCACATGTTTATGTTCTAACTACATACATGGATTCATAAAGCCTAGATAAGTAAAAAAATACAGCTACTTCTATTTATATGATCTCTCTAGTTGATATAATCATTCCTTAGCCGTATAATTTTA